GGGGGGGGGGTGGCGGCAGGAGAGTGTCAGAGAAAGCCAAAATGAGAGGAGAAACTCTGAAATGCAGCCCGACGGGCATCTTGTTTCGCTATACGTCGAGGAGATAAACAGGAGAGCATACATTGTGAGCTCTGCTGGGCTGTGAAAATAAAATCCCGGTGAACAGGAGAGAACAATTTGCAGCCATGCTCTTGTGAAAGGTTTCTTCAACATAACTGGCAGGCAGGAGCTTTCCATCTGTTGGCTAATAAAAAAGTAAGGGAGAGTAAGAATAGGACAATAGAGAGAGACCACACTAATAACACGGTATAACATCACCATGTATGATTTAGTTCAGCAACTGTAAAACCTGTATAGATTGCGGCGGTCCGTCAGCAGATTCAAAATGAAACCATAAGTGATCAAATGAACTGCTGTTTTCATCTATTAATTTACTAATGTGCACAACTCAGATGCATAAAATGCCCAGGAATTTTTAATCACTCTGATTAGTAAACTGACCAATCAGAATGGGTATTCAAATGATTATTGGAAATGTTGGTGGTTGGAAAGATTATACTGCAATGTGAATCTATATCTATATCTATTCTTATATTACTATTTTTATTACTATTTTTATAGATATCAGCGAGACATATCAGCCTTCCCTGGAAAATTGCCTCACAGTGTTTTTAAGAGAGATGTATAAAGAGATATAAAAACTGAATAAAAGGGCAGGGGCCACAAAAACAACATAGAAAATATTTGTTTGAACTTTCTGAACCATTAGTAAGAGAGGCAAAGAAAAATAGCCATGAAGCTCTTTAAGGCCACACTTTTCAAGTCACCCTAACGCTATACTACCAAAAAGAAATTGTCAGGCAGCTCTTTTCCATATTTATGAGAGGGAATGAGTGTGACTTTCTTGACCCTAATGCTTGTTTTCATTGGATTACAAAGATAGGATGACAAATAACGTTTGTCTTCAGGTGAAGCTGAGTGGCAACCATGAGAGAGCACATTCTCTCAAAGACTGACAGATTTCAAAGAGTTTACCAGTCACCTGCAGGCACTGGGAATCACAATGAGAAGTTGGATGTCTTTTAGGATGTTATATATCTATATAAAAAGCTATGTAGAAAGGAAAGCGAGCACCAAACAGCATATAAAGGGAGAAAATCATGACTGAATTACAGCAAGAAACCTACTGGGTGAAAATATCATGTCCAGGTCACATTTAACTCCCCCCCAAAAAAAAGGTAAGATAAAGAAATAAATTACATTTGCATGAAGAAAATCAAGCCTGTTTTGAAGTGTGACAACGTTTAAATTCCACCATTTTCATTATTTTTTTTAAATATATATAATTAAAAATATATAATTTATAATATAATTATATAAAATATATAGTCTATGTTTTGCATTACAATAAAAATAATAAGATTTGGGGGGCACAATCAACATACCTCTCATAAAATATTGCTATGCAAAGAATTTTAATGATACCAAAATAAACAATTTATTTATAAATAAATATAGTTCTCATTTCTGAAATATGACCTGGACTTGTTATTGACAGGTTTTTAGCCTACCACTACTAAAACAAAATGACACTTCAAACTGGTTTCTTGTTTAAGCTGAATTACAACCTAAGAGAAATCTCTTAAGATGACAGTCGTTATTGACAATCAGAATGATTGTTATTATGGGTTCTTATAGATGTTTGTCCAGGAAATGACTTCTGACCACATTCACTGTTCTTTATGCCTTTGAGCATCTGGACATTTGTATCTCCATGGACTTTTAATAAAAGTCTTGCATCATTTCATGCAGCAGATGCTGCACTTAAATTCCCTGTGAGCCGAAGACCTTTTCATTGCCTTATAAATGTATTATCATTAATATACTCTGAACATCTGAGTGCCTCCTTTTCAGGTTTGTGATATTTATAGTCCTTGGCAGGAGCAGATATCACCGAGAGGAAAAGTGAGTGTGCTTCACTGAGATATACTGTATGGGAGGTGTTTGAGTCCGGGGGTGATTATTTGTCAGGCGTAAAACACAGGGAGTATTTATCTATCAAAAGGTTTAATTCTGTTTCTTCCACTGCAGGCCTGATAGAAAAATGGCCACAATAACCATGAGTGCTTGCTGTTGAAACTTTCTGCCTCTTGTTATCTTTTTATTAGCCATCTGTGAGGTACCAAGATAAAATACTAGAATCACAGGCCGTGTTTTTCCTCACACCAGGGTTAAAACAGGCTTCATTGATTGAGATATAATTAAACCAAAAGGTGGTGTGGGGGGAATCAATGCTGCTTTCACTCGCTGATGGCAACGAAGACCACAGCAAATCAACACTGCAGTGTTTCTTGAAGTAGCTTCAGCCTCATTAAACACACATTAGAAATCATCTCGCCAACATAAAAGTAATGTGTTTTAAACCAGCTGATTCAAGTCAAAAATAAAACAAATCACCTCTAAACAGCTCCTGAGATGTCCACACCAAACCCTGTGCAAACGTATCATTTTCTTCTTTTTTTAAAGAGGTTATTTAATGCTTCTGTAATACAAATTAATTTTACATGGGCAGCCAAAGACATTGAAACATATTTACAAAAATTAACGTTCCAAACACATTTATTGGGCCGATAACATTAATCAAACACAGTGTATGACCATTGTAAACAATGAAACAGAAAAAAAGGCATCAGCTCTGCTCCAGAAAGTGCGCCAAGCGTAAAATATTCAACTTTTTTTATTTCTTTTTTTCCCTCTATTATTTTTTTAAATGTTTATTTGTATCTTTATATACTCATTTTCAGCATGAATAATTATATTTACAAGGCCAAGACACTTTTTTCCCCCCACAGACAACATCACATCATAGTCGTCTTTATGATGGTTTTTGTCTTGACAATAAACCTGCAAGGCTGCCTCTCCCTCCTCTCCACAGCGCGAGCGAGAATAAAGATTGAGAATGCAGTTATGTTTCAAGGATGTTTCTGTACTGGTAGGGTGGTTCAATGTCCTGTCCCTTTTTCCCAGATTGGTAGCAAGTTGTCCTTATGTACAAAGGCTAAAAACATTCAGTTCCATTTGTGAAGAGCCTATGGAATAAATGTTATATTTTTGTAGTATTTTTTTCCCCCCCAAAAAAGGTATCAAAACATTTGTGTAGTTATAACTGTATGTCACTAGTTTTGATTGGATGTATGAAATTGGATTACTTTGCCAAGAGTGCAAAGTCTCTTCTTGCTGGGGTTTGTTTTTTTCTTTACAACGTCATGATTTTATCTGGCAGGACATATGTCAGTCTTCATTCTGTACTGATCCACGAGCCTTCCTCTTCATTCTTTTTCATGTTAGTGTTCTTGGGTTGGTCCACATCCTGGCTCTATTTCAGCAGCCATTCGTTCACTGTAAGGGGAAAAATACAATATTATACTGTTGTTTATTATCACACTTCACTCTACTTCATGAGATCACAGATTTTTCAAATAGTTTATATAAAATGTCCCGATATTATTCCAGATGACCTTTTCTGAACAATCCATCACCTTATTGGTGAAAAAAGGGTTAAAAATATGAACATGTTCCAAGACAAAAATCAGAAGTTAAAATCATTACAAGTTAATGTTAACTGGTAAGAAAACACACATCCACTTATCTGAACATTATCCCATTACAATAGTCCCTAATGTTTGCATAATGTTCGCATATAATTACATGGAGATTTTTAAAGCCATATTAAATATTAAATGTATTATAGTAAATCCAGAATAGCAAAATGTATAGTCTGAATCATTGCACACTTATTTACTGAAGTCTGTTAAGTTTAACAGAGACTCGCTTGTTGTTGATGTCAGAACAAGACTTGAAAAGGACAAAATGTAAATCTTTCGAACATTTACAGATAAGGATATACTGTAAGATGTAAGTTATGCATTTAAAAAACATGTACATTACAGTTTTTTTCTCTGTCGCTTTAGTACATTTCTCAGATCCCAGCTGAAATTCTCCAAACTACTTGTTCAACCTCCACATCATAAAAGCAATTTCTCATACTTTTGAACAAATTGCTAAAGCTTTGGTACATTGATTATGTAAAATTGTCTGCTGTTTCCTACATTATTAATTGCTTGTCATGTTGATGAAAATAAATTATACTGATTGTGTTGAATAGTCTTCCCCCAAAACATCTAGGTATTAGTTAATTGTATAAGTTATTAAATGCAAAATGGTTCAACTAGTTGTCATAAACTGTCAAGCCTATTTTCTATACATTTCTACTAGACCTCTTTTTGTAAATGTGTCCTGAATTGATGAATTGCACAGGTGAATCTTGAATTTCACTAATTAAGGGAAATGTAAATTGTTCAACCAGTGATCAACCATTTATCTAAAATAGCTCAGAGGTACATCTAACAAACCTTCACTTATAAAGAATATGTAGATCGGGCACAACACAATGTTAATTTCTAACAGTGGACACAAAGAACAAAAAGGAAACAAACAGGGTCAACAGTTAATAAGAAGAGGCGTAGGGAGGCAAAACAGAGAAAAAGGTAGAAGAAGCCAAGGATGTGTGGACCATGTTCTCAATCATGACCTTAGGTCAGAGGGAGGTCAAAAGGTACAGCCAAATGTTGGGAGAACAACTGTGTCCTCAGTCATTCAAATGTGTGAAGACAGAACAGTCAAAGTCAGTAAATATACTTTATGGGGACTACTGTAACACACAAACATGCAATGTATACATATATACACACACACACACAGACACACATATATACACACACACGCACGCACGCGCATAGAGTGTATATGTACATATGTGTGTCTTGTCTTTTGCTTTATATCACCATGGCATTGCACTATCATTTGTTGTCAGACCACCAATAAAAGAGTAACTGTCCAGTCTCTTGCAATACTGCAATCAATATCACATACAGTAAATGTGTATATTGTGTATATGTACTGTTGAAATTGCCATACAGAAAAAGTGCAGCACTGTGCATTTTCAATCAATGTCATGAAAACTGTAACCATAGTGTATCGGAAAATACTGGCAGACTACACTGCTATTGAAAACATGGCTAAGCATTTGACTGTCTTGTTTCTTGTTTGTGAACAATGACAGATGAACTTGTCATTCTGATGGCACTGATGTGTCCATTGACATAAATGCTTTTGAGAGATGAAATAAAAGTGATGAGCAACTTATAGGCTTTTGCAGTTAATCTATTGTGTGGTGCTCTTTGCCCAAATTGTTGAACTTACTGGTCTGCAGATGTTAAGGATTATTCGAGAAATGCACCAAAGTGACTAAGAAAAACTCCTGACCTGACAGTTGCGTTTAAACTCAATGTGAGTTTTTATGAGATTGAAGTGCTTAATACAAAGCATGCCTCATAGGACAACTTGGATTGTGCAGTTTTCTCTCAGCAGTTTACTCTGATGCATTTGCAAAATCAAACTACTAATATATACAGTAATGTCTCACTGTGTTTGAAAATCATCAATATTGGACTCCTTTTTTTTTCTAGTCTCTGGCTCCTGTTCCATAAGACTCTGTAACATTGTGTTCATGTTCATTGCGCAGTTTCCCAGAATTACATTTTCTCTTGCACTCTGAATATCACCACCTCAAGCTAAAATTTAACATTCAATTAGCCCGCAGACAGCTCACTGTGCTAGCTACAAAAGAATGTGTCTCCCTGGTTAAGATACATGACCTCAGATGCCTAACCAACACTAATTAAATGCCTCTATCTGTTCCTTCTCCTCCAAGATATTTACATCTTTTAACGGCTCAAATGTAATAAAAGGAAGGAACCTTTTTTGTATCGCTCATTTACCCACTGGGGTGGTAAATCCAACATCTCAAACAAGTGCAGCACGACTCTGATTCATCACTTCACTGCTGTATCAAGAGTACAAGCAAATTCTCCATAATGAAATTTTGCGATAAGAGCAGGCTCAATAAAGGCTCTTCTTTTCTTTGTTCATGATGCTTTAGTGCTGAAACAATTTACAACAATATCTCAGGCATTCTGGTAGAGGCACAAACACATCTTAAGATGCCTATGGCTCTCCAAGCTCATTACAACATGTGCTACTGAGACACCTAAACCTCTTAAACAAGCTAAGTCAATAAATGATGCATGGTCAAGAGGAGATTACCAGTAATTATGCAAACACTTTTAACAGGATGTAACCAGTGAGTTTATTTTATACATAAAATCACTTCTTCGTATACATGACGCATTTAAGGAAATGGGTAATTTTACGGTTGTTTTGAGGATAAATATTTGCTCATAACTACTGAATAGTTCATTTCACTCATCTAATATGTACAAAATGCTTTTGTGTGTATCTGCATGTGCTCGTATTTTTGCGTGTTGTATAACAGTACAACACACCTTAATTATCTCTATTATGAAACCTAGTGAGCAATCTGGTTGCCTACTGCCTACCTAGGCAGCATACTAACGGTCATGGATCCTCATAAATGTTTTATAAGCATGGCTACTGACTTTACATATTGCCAAACACTTTAAAATGTCAAAAATGTGTAAAGTCAGGTGAAAAGTGAGGAGAATAAAGGAAAAGTTTATTATTCTAAATGCACCTTTTCAATAGTTACCTGGAAACTAAACTGTAACATTTACTCAGTAACTTCAGCGAACCTGTTCATTATGACCAACAATGTTATTCTGCCTTGGAGTCTGTGTTGTTTTGGAGAAGTAAATGATGAAAGCTGTAGAAACACTTCTGGTTTTGTCATGGGCTGGTTTAGTCTCTAATTCAAAGCGGGTTGAGAGATCATAAGAAGAAGCACAGAGGCACTGACCTCGGTATTGCAACTTCTGTGCCCTGTTGTTGGGGCAGTCCTTGCCCTGCATGCTGAAGTTGATGTTGGTGCGGATACAGCGGTTGTTCAGAGGCTGTACTGGGCGCACATTGTCACTCATGCTGAGGAATATCTGCGAGGGCTGGTTCTGACTTAGCAGTCGCATGGAGTGCATCTGTAAGGATGACACAGATGGAGCAGACATTTTATATCGACCCTCTGATGGCAGGTCAGGCAATTATTGCACAGTCAATCCAATCCTAACAGACCCACATCAAAAAGTGTCTGGGGAGCTACGTGAGGGTGTCATTCAAGAACAGATTATATTACATGTCATCAAAACAGTGTATCTGCAGGGTCAAAAGGGACACATTCTGCCTTTAAGAAGAATGCCGTTAGCTGAATCCATAAAAATTGATTCTTGGATCAAGTAAATAACGCTGAAAGATTTACTAGATTATTCTATTTGTTTGTTTACTTGCTGTTCTGAAGTTCTGACAACATTCAGTAACTCAACTAATGCACCTTGATGCAGCTTTTCTATTATAATAATCTGTGTTTATTAAGTCCTCAAGCAGAGCTGATGACATGTATTAATGCATTTTTTTTTTTACACTGAAAAATGGTTTTATTGTCCGGTCTCAGTTCCTACCTTCTCAGCATGCACTTGGCATTAATAATTAATATGGTTGCATTGTGTCACTGTTTGCCAGTTTTATTTTCACTGTTAATGTCTAATGATGTCTGGTTGAGTTTCATTCACTTAAGATTATCAGGTACTCTTGTCATGTTTCATGCCGTCTTCATGTCTCTGTGGCATTATTTCATGAGTTTTGTAGTAGTAGATTGATAGTCGTAGAACTTTAAGTTCTTAAAACGTTAGTATTTTATACAACTACTTAAACATTACATAATATAAATAGGGAACTGTTACAATGATGGCAGTGTAACATTTTAAGTTCAGTCAAGTAGTTTACATGAAATAATTTTGTAAATGTATTTAACAAAAACTCTCTGCTAACTTAGCACAAAAAACTCATTTATTTTAAACAGTGTATGTTGTTTTACCTGCATCCTTGTGACGTAAATTGGCTTGTTCATCAGAATCCACGTTGCGGTCTCGTAGCACGGTGGGATTGTCATAGACCCTTCGTAAGTGATAAAACTTGCCGTCTCTGGATAAACCTCCTCAATGTTTAGCCCAGAGAGCAGGTATGCATCATCTACAAAAAAAAAAGCAAAAAATGTTGTTGCTTACCAATTAAAACTCATCTAGAGAGCCAATTCACAAACATGAATTAGTCATTATAGAAATCAAAATAGTGCACTTTCCACCCAAGTCTTCATCCAAAGTCAAAATGCAATATATTAAGTAACAAAAGAACGTCTTGAAATGATGTCCAAACAACAAAAGCAAAACAGAAAGCAACAATAGTAACCAAACAGTTCTTTATCTTTGCTTGTCAACAGTTCTTTTCAGTATTTATGCATTGCCTTTGATTTGTTGGACAAGTGGTGACAGCACATGTTATTTTGACTTCATAATAGCGGGCCGCCATGAGATAATGCTGCTCTGAATTTATGAGGAACAGCAATATTGAACCCACCTTCCACTGACAACAGACAAGTAATAGGTTCTGACTCACGCCAGCCAGAGGAAATAGTTCGTCCGCTCTTTCCCCACCCCTATTAATTCAATTATGAAGGCCTTTTTTCAAAAGCCTGGCAGTGCTGTCGAGTCCTCCCTGAGCTCAGCTAGCCTGCGTTCATGCACCACTGTGGCCAGGGAGACACGCACCAGCCACCAGGGGTCAGAACATTTTATCTATTCATCCGCTCTTTCCCCACCCCTATTAATTCAATTATGAAGGCCTTTTTTCAAAAGTCCCTCTGGTGAGTTAAAGGATAATGCCACGGAACATTTCCACTACACTGCATGTCAGCTTCGGCCATGAAATATTCCCAAACTAGATAGTGGTCTGAGTTCTCAAGGCTGAATAAATTTGCTTCTCGACACCTTTGACTTTACTTACACAAGTCTTGTGCCTTCAAACTGCTGCTGTTAATCAATAATTAGCATGAAGGGTTGGCATGCACTGCAGAATTAGGGTGTAACACAATGCAGTCCATTACAAAACAGCCTATCAGAAGGGTTCCTCTCTGCACGTTATTTCACAATGTGCTGCAGCTGAAGAGCATAAAACTGATAACACATATTGTCATGACTAACTCAATGCTTCAAGCAACGTGTCATACCCTACCCTGGTTCCCTCATCAAAAAGCCAGTTGGATCTTTCCACTGGGTTTTGGATTATTGCAGAAAATAAGCTGTGACCAACAAAGGTTCATGGTTCTTACATGTTTTGTTTATCTTCCTAAACGATTTTGTGAATTTTGAAGCCTTAATCTCCAGAAGTAAAAAGCTGAAGTTAGAAGTAAAGTGAAGTATAAAGGCTATATTTAGTAGTACTTAATTGTTGGGTTAGACTGTTAAACAGTTTTTCACCATTTTCGTGCTCAGGATTTTTTAGGCGGGTCTTGATGATGTACTCGACGCACCACCCCTAACACTGTTTACACCTGGTCATTTCATGCGTTTTCGCTGATCGGATATCTATCTGATTTGTTAAAACGTTTCTATTTACACTTGGCCACATAAATGTGTCGTCGCAAAATGGATATAAATCCGATCTTCAATTCCCGCACTATATTTAAATTTAACGGAGTTCACTTCAACAAAATCAAAAGATAAGCACTGCATTTTATTAATTATCAGCTCATTTCAAGATCAAAGACCGCAATAGGAGAGCGCGCGGCATCAGCACTGGAAAGATAAGTTTGTCTTACTACTTTTAATGAAGATGATTGTGTGTTGACCGTCTGCGT